TTAGTTCATTCATTGGCGGGAACAGGTCAGGCTGGAGGGATAGGTCATTCCTAAGGAGGGGGTTACATTTAAACTGATTGGTACAGGCCCTGCAATGCCTATGTGTGACCACACAGAACCCTAAACAACCAAATAGTCAGGGGAAATATTTACTGGGCGGTTCTAAGCATTGTCTTAACAGCCTCAGAAATTTCGGGTTTTGCAGGTAGCATAGAAACCTAACAATACCTCCTTTACATTTTAACTCAGACCTTGCAGCTTAGAAACTTTTACAACACCTGGTCTTTTACCCTTTAACTTTTACGCTTTAACTTCAATTTCTTTTACCCTTACAAGGTGACTGGCCCAGAGGATACTGTCCTATCAAATGTTAGCTTCTGAAGTTAATGGTCTCTTTCTATTGAAGTCATGTTCCTGGTTTGCTGCATTCCAGAAAACTTATAGGGAACTGGAACATTAGAAAGTAATTTATGGCCTGTTTAGTGCATCCTCACATTTAAATCCTTTTCTATGCCTTATGTTCCTTTAACTGGATCATGAATTGTTTACGAGTTGTCTGTTCTATAGTTTAACAGGGATATTTTTCCTTTAAAGCTCAGTGTTCTCTGCATTACTAAATTTTGAACTCAGACTGAAAAAAAGACATATTCCTTCTGATCAAAAGGCCAGTTTTGCATAAAAAATTAATGACAAACTCTATCTTTCCATATGCTTGTAAAATGTCTGAATTTTAAGGATAAAGAAAAATGTCCTGATAGCACTGACTTAGAAGGATGGAGGAATGGTTTACCAACAAAATAATAAAAATGAGACAGCTCTAAAATAATGAAGCAAAACTCAAAATTTTGTATTCAGATATTGTATGTGAAGAGTAAGTTATGTTTTCTCAAATTTATAATCTCAGATCATATCATACATAATCTTTTTAAATGCTTAAGGATTTAACCTAATAGCCTAGGTGATAACTTGATGAAAAGAGACAGTGAGTATATTAGTTAGAGTAAGCTCAACTTCTATAGCAAATAAACATAAAAATGTATAATTTCTTAAAGAAAGGTATTTATAAATTCAGTAAAATATGCTAAGTAAGCAATTAGTCAAAGAAGAAGTTATAATGAATATTGCAAAATAATTTTAAGTGAAGGAACATGAAGATACTATATATTAAAATAACAGAGTGCTCCACAGCAATGATTAAAGGGAAATTTATGCTATTAAATGTTTATATTAGGAGCTGGGGTTGTGGCTCAGCGGTAGAGCGCTTGCCTAGTGGATACTGACTGTTATTGGTGACGAGTCCTGCTTCCCCACATGTTGAAGTTTGGATATTAGAGAAGCACGCCAAGGCAAGCATATGAAGCAGGGTTTATTTAAAAAGGGGTAACATAGACTTCTCCTGCGAGGGAGAAAGGGGCCAGGGCTAGTAACATGGTATCCCAGGATGCCAGGTGTTGTGTCCTTTTTATATGTCCTAGGATTCCTTTGTTCTCCTGCCTTTCCCCCCTTATCTTTCTTCTTCCTGTGGATTTGACTATGGCCAAAAGGTGGAAACAGGTGGGCTGAAGGGGGAAGGGCAGGATGAAGTAGCCAAGGACACATTAACAACCTTATAGCTCCCTGTAGGGAGGGGAAATGACCTGTCCTGGGACAGGTTACCTTGGCAACAGGTTGGAGCAGGGGCAGGTTCTTGATAAGATCCTTCAGGGGACAGTCTCCAACTTCCCAGACTCACTCAAAATTGGCCTCCTAGATCCGACCTGACTTGATTTACCTATATACCTATATACACTGACTACCTATCTAGCTATACGTGAGGCACTGGGTTCAATCCTCAGCACCACATAAAAATAAATAAAGGTATTGTGCCTATCTACAACTTAGAAAAAAAAATTTTTTTAAGTTTATATTAGAAAGGAAGAAATGTCTTTAACCAATGATTCAGGTTTCCACTTAAAAAAACTACAAAAGTAGAGTAAATTAAGCCAAAGCAAATAGAAGTGGGAAAAATAGAGAAGTTGGTAAAATACGAAAATAATTCAACAAAACATGCTTTTTCGAAGAAATAAATCTGATAAGCTTCTCTCCTGACTGACAAGTATGTTCATTTGAAGAAGACAAATGACTAATAACAGAAATGCAAGATGGTGCATTACTACAGAACTTACATACATTAACAGGATAATAGTGACCATTTCAAACAACTTTTTTTAAAAAAATATATATTTTTAGTTGTTGATAGATCTTTATTTTATTTATTTACATGTAGTGCTGAGAATGGAACCCAGTGCCTCACACATGCCAGGCAAGTGTGCTACCACTGAGCCACAATCCCAGCCCCTCAAACACCTTTATATCTATAACTTTGATAACACAGATGAATGGACAAGTTTCTTAAAGGACCGAAACTATTAAAACTCCCTTAAAAAGAAATGGATCTTCTAATAGGTCCTATAAATAGTAAAAAAACTGATTTGTAGCTGAGAATCTTTCATCTTAATAGTTAACAAGCAGGGTTGGGGGTGTGGCTCAGTGATAGAGCGTTTGCCTAGCATGCATGAGGCACTGGGTTCAATCCTCAGCACTACATAAAACTATTGTGTTCACCTACAACTACAAAATATTTAAAAAAAAATAGTTAGCAAGCTCAGATAGTCTATTAGGGTTCTCCAGAGAAAAATAACCAATGGGGTGTGTATGTGTGTGCAGGGGGAGTTTTATTCTTAAGAGACTTGGCTCATGTGATTTTAGAAGCTGGCAAGTTCAAAATCTATAGGGTAGTTCTGCAGGATAGAGACTCAGGAAAGAGTTCCAGTTCAAATCCATGGCTGACCGGCTGGCAGAATTCTCTTCTCTCTCTCTGGGAAGATCAGTCTTTTTTTCCTTTTCTGTTTTTATTAATGCCTTCAACTTATCTGATGAAGCCTATCCACATTATGGAGGATAATCTGCTTCACTCAAATTCTACTGATTTAAATGTTGATCTTATCTAAGAACTACCTTCACAGAAACTTTTATAATAATATTTGACCAAATATCTAGGTATTGTGGCCTAGCCAAATTACACATGAAATCAACCATCACAAATGGTAACACTGGTAGAAAATAATTCCATTTCTATACAACTATTCAAGAAAATAGAAGAGGAGGAAATATATCTTAATTCATTTTATGAGAATAATATTACATTGGTACCAAAACTTGAACAAATCCTTTCAAAAAAGAAAACCATATTCCAATTTTCTTCATGCACTCAAACATGATAATTTGCTATAGAGTACTAGTAAAGAAAATTTGCAACGAATGGAAAGAATAATACATGATGACCAAATGGTGTTTATTCTAGGAATGCAAGGCCAGCCTGACATCTGAAAATAAGGCAATATAATTCAGTTTATTAATAAATTAAGAAGAAAAAACAGTCATTTCAATAGATGTCAGAGAAGAAATTTATAAAGTTCAACACTCAAACATCATGAAAACTTCCAAATACCTAAAAATAGGAGAGATAATCCTAAACCTGAGGAAAGACACCTATTAAAAGTAACCTATAGCTAATATCATTTTGGGGGGCAGGGGCGGTGTAACAGGGGATAGAACGCAGGGGCACTCGACCACTGAGTCACATCCCCAGCCCTATTTTGTATTTTTAATTTAGGGACAAGTTCTTACTGAGTTGTTTAGTACCCTGTTTTTTGCAGAGGCTGGCTTTGAACTTCACTCTCAATCCTCCTGACTCAGCCTCCTGAGTCGCTGGGATTATATGCTTTCGCCACCATGCATGTCGCTAATGTCATAATTAATGATGAAAGACTGGACGGCTTTCTCCTAATGTTACAGGAAGAATCCAAGGAAGTCCACTCCCATCATTTCTACTCAACAATATACTCATAGCTCTAGCTAATACAGCAAGGTAATTAAAACACATACTGGAAAAGAAGAAATAAAGCTGTCTATTTGCTAATGATATGGTTATCTATACAAAAATATCCTAAAGAATCTGTGAAAATTCTACTAGAAATAATAAATAAGTCAAGCAAAGTCAACGGATACAAGGTTAGGTTAATATTTTAAAAACCAGTAGTATTTGTATATACTAAGAACAAACAATTGAAGTTTTAAATTATCTTCTTGTTTCTCCTCCTCTTTCTTCTCCTCCTTCTGGAAAGAAAGGAGGAGGGAGAAGGTAGGAAGGGAGGGAGGCAGGAAGGATCTAAAGGAAATATGGCTAATCGCTATGGTTGATACCAGAGTGTTTAAAATTTGCTCCATGTGCTTTTCTTTATACTTGAAGTGTTTTATACCTCAAAATGGTACTTTGTTCTTGTGAACAAGAAAATACATTAAAGTGTAAAAATCGTAATTCCCTCATCCAAAGAAAATTAATCTTAACATTTAGCTGTATATGTTCCCAGGCTGTGTCATACTTTCAATGACTGTGTATCATACACATAATAAATGTAGGTTTTTTTTTTTTTTTTTTTTTTTTTAAAGAGGCCAGCAATTTTCAAAACTGTGCTTACATTCATGAGGGGAATCATATTCAGCTCTGCATTTTCTCTTTTTGGGACGGCTTGTCTTCCTTGTATTTTGTCGCTTCCAGTATTTTGTCGCTGCTCCACAGTCTATTTGTCAGCATATTGCATGGACTGTCCTTCGCCTTGTTCTGTCCACCTCAATCCTCAATGGCTACCTCAATCCATCTCAGATCTACAACTAAATGGAGGCCGTTGCACGGCATTCCCAAACCAAGTCTCCCTGTAATCTGTTATTCACCCAGATCATTTTCCTGCCGTGTGAAAACAGGTCTCCAACAGTACCTTCCGACTTTCTGACACCCCTAATAAAAAACTACAATCCCGTCGGGCTCTGCTCCGGTCCCAACCTGCCCTCTTCGTCCCTGCGCCTGCGCGATCTGCGCGTGGACTACAATTCCCAGGAAGCATCGTGCGGCGGCCCGCGCTTCCCTGCTTCCTGCCGGGGCGTTTCCTTAGTATTAGTGGCTGGGGGAGTCGGAAAACTTTAAGGAGGAAAGAGCTTGAGGGCAACTTGGGAAGGTATTGGGAATAATTTTTATTGTTCTAAAGGAAAAAAGCATCATACTACAGCAGGGAGACATCTGTCTGGTTGTCTGGTGTGCACAGACCTTGCTCTTCTGAACTGGGAAGAAGGTCCTTGCATTGCACTTTCCGGCAAGCCCGGGTCGCTGCTTGCACTTGTTATTAGGAAATGTCATCCTTGGGGTTTGTCAGATCTCCCCTAGAGTGGAACAGGCTGACAATCCTGTTTTTTTTTTTTTTTTTTGATGTTGTCACTTTATTTTTATAGCCTCACAGAGATTTTAGTGGGAAGTTAGAAGACAACATGAGTAGGCTGCCAAAATTTTTTACCTTGGAAACCCGTGCACTGTGTGTGTGTGTGTGTGTGTTTGTACTGGGGATTGAAAGTAGGGACACTGTAACACTGAGCTACATCCCTGTTAATGTTCTTTTAATGTGTGGTTTTTCTTATTCTCTCTTTCCTTTTTTTTTCCTTTTCTTTTTCTTTTTTTTTTTTTTAAACAGGGTCTCGGTAAGTTACTGAGGCTGTCCTGAAATTTGTGAGCCTCTTGTTTCAGCCTCCCTAGTCTCTGGGATTATAGGCATGCGCCACCCTGCTGGGTTATGCACACTTCCTTTAACAAATTGTTCCTAGGTAGTTTTGTATTTTGTTACAATTGGGCCAGAACCCTTATTTTTCTGACATTTTAAAAAGATTATTGTTAACGTGTTCTGAAAACAGAGCCGTGGGGAGATACTTAAGGAGAAATAAAGAGTCTCCTTAATACTGCTTGACTAACCACATGTAATTCCACAAGTAATTCACAATCCCCACCTAGCTTCCCCAAAAGCAAAACGTTTGCATTCAGGAATGAGGGGGTTATCAGATTGAAATGAGCCACGGAGTGAATGGTGGCTGGGAGATGAGCAGTTAGAGGAGACCACAAATTACTAAAGAATATATTATTGTTGAATGGAAAGGTGGAATGTGGGCTTGAGACCCCATTCTGCCATTGTGATCTTTAACTTTGTGATCTCATCCAGTTTAATTTACCTCATCTGTGAAATAAAAATATTACCTGTCTTTTCCACTTGACAGTTTTTGTGAAGGTAATTTAAAGATATGTGGGCATAGTTCCTCAACTCCACAATCACCAAAAGTGAGTTGGTAGTAATAATAATGAGGCAAGTGTAATGAAGGCCAATGTTATTAGAAATGCCAGTAAAAAGAAAAGTTGACTGAGCAAAAGGAAGGTGCTAAGCAACTCAGTGAGACCTGTCTCTAAATAAAATACAAAATAGGGCTGGGGATGTGGCTTAATGGCTGAGTGCCCATGAGTTCAATCCCTGATACACCACCCCCACCCCTACCACCAAAATAAAAAAAAAAGAAGAGTTGAAATGGTAACTGCGGGGTAAGGATTGTGAGTAAAGTAAGTGAATCTGGGAAGGGCCAGAGAGTCTGGGAGCAGACAGATGGGTCAGGCCTCTCATTGGTTTCAAAACTTTAGGATGGTAGGAACCACATCTGTCTTGGTCACAGTTGTTTGGCAGTGTCTAGAACAGTATTTTGCACATGGTGCTTTTGCTTTTATATTTTCTGCCCAGAACACTCTTACTCTATGTCAGGGCTCCCCAGAGAAATAAAACCAGGAGGGGTGTATGTGTGTGTGTGTGTTCAAGTACATATGTGCATACATTAATGTATATACATGTGTGTATGCGTGGATATGCACATATATACACCATATATGTATAAGTATATGCATATACTAGCTGGTTATGTGTAGAGTCTAGGCTTGCACATACATGCATATATTAGTATACCTGTATATACGCATGAAAGACACACACACACACACACACAGATGAGAGATTAGGAATTTATTTGAAGAATTTGACATACAGTTGTGGGGACTGGCAAATCCAAAATCTCTAGGTTAGGCAGATAGACTGGAGACTTTAAGGTAGAAGTTGATGTTAGAATCTTGAGGCAGAATTTATTCTTCATTTAGGAAGCCCTAATTTGGTTTTTAAGCCTTTTAACTGAGTAGATGAGGCCTGTCCACATTATTGAGGGTAGTCTTTTACTTAGGGTCAAAGTATGTGGACATGGTTCCTACAGTCACATGTTAACCACATCTCCAAAAAACCTTCACAGTAATACCTAGATTAGTATTTGATTCAATAATCCAGAAATATAGTCTAGTCAAGTTGACACATAAAACTATCACATTCCTGCAAAAACTTTGTTCCAGTGTTGTCGTTATAACATTTAAAACTGCAATCCTACACGTATACCCGTACATTCCCAATCCTCCCCCATCTTAATTCACAGGTTTGCCCTGTACAGTGTCAGGGCATACTCTCTGTAGTTCGAGGTCTTTTTATTTTGTTTCAAAACAGAATGAAAATCTTTTTAACATTTATAGCCCCCCAAAACAGATTAATTGACATCAAATTCTTGAGTTTTCCCAAGCTCTCATTTTAAGCACAGGGTTAGTTGATGCTAAGTCAAAGCCTCCATTCATTTGCTTATGTATACACAAGAGAAAAAGTATAATCTCTGCTGCTGATATTCTGCTTATCAGGATTCTCTTGTTATTCTGATGTTGCTTTGGATGAGAGAGGTGCTACTGTGATCCAACTTTACCATAATTATTATCACATACAGATTTTTTTTAAAAGATCCAAAGAAATATATACTCTCATTCAACTCCAAATATGTCTTGTTGCTTAAATGTCAATATAATTTCTAATATTCAAATGGAAATTTTAATATTTGTTCCCCCTAATAACAGATATTTTTCTGATATTTTTTCCACATGTTCATCAGAAAATTACTAATCCTGAAAAAGGTATTTGGTCATCCCATGCATCACGCCTGACTTCAACTTATTGTGAGAGGCATTTGTGGTCATGAAAAGAAGTAAGTATCCTGTAGAAGAAAGATGGAGGCTGGATGTTTGAGGGTTTCTTATGGTCTGTTTTCTGTAGTGTCTGCCTGTAGCTAGTTATAACCTTTCCTGTTTATTTAAGGTGTGGGCAGATTGTGAAATAATAGACAGTTGGCTGCAGCATCTGAGTTATGTTTTTGCTTCTTGATTTCTGCTTTGCTCTGTTGTTTTGAGAAATAAATGGAAAGGAGAGTCATAGTCTAAGAATGATAAATTCTTTCAACTGTTCTTTCTTGACTCTGGGCTATTTCTGTACATATAAAGGATTATGGAATTTGGAGTAATATTCTTTTATTATTATTATTATTTTCTGTAGTGCTGGGGATTGGACCCTGGTCCTTGTGCATATAGGCACACACTCTACCAACTGAGCTATATCCTCAGCCTGGATAACATTCTTTTTGAGTATCATCCAGTTCAGGATGGCTGTGTACACATACTAATATGTAACAATAAATCCCACCCTTATGTACAACTATAATATGCCAATAAAAAATATAGGAAAAAAAATCAATTGACCATTAATGTGTAGGTTTACTTCTGGACTCCTTACTCTTTTTTAAAATATTTATTTACTTTTTAGTTGTAGTCGCATGCAATACCTTTATTTATATGTGGTGCTGAGGATCGAACCCAGGGCCTTGCACATGCTAGACGAGCACTCCATCGCTGAGCCACAATCCCAGCCCCTGGACTCCTTATTCTATTTATTTGATGTATAGATTTAAAAAAAAAATAGGACTGGGGATGTAGCTCAGTGGTTGAGTACCCCTGAGTTCAATCCCCAGTATCACCCCCCAAAAATACTAAGATAAAAAGAAGATAAAGAAAAAACTCCTTGAAAGAGTCTTTGTTTCTACTTCCTCCTTTCCTACTCTTTCTCAAATCTACTCTACCCTCCTGTCAACACTGCTGAAACTGTTCTTCAGTGACCTCCAACGCAGTTCTTAGTCTTCATTTTACTCACTCTCTCAGTTTGTGACACAATCGCTCCTTCGTGAAACCTTCTCTTCCTTTCTCATGTAAGATACTGCACAAAGTTTTATCCTTATGCTAGGACCACACAGTCCTGATGATTTGGAGTTTTGTAGAATGTGTGAGAAACTGAAAAGTATGAGTCCTCCAACTTTTCTTTTTCAAGGTTGTTTTGGCTACTCAGAGACCCTTGAAATTCCATATGAATTTAAGAGTCACATCATCAATTTCTGCAAAACAACCAATAAGTTTGACACATCTAGAAGTAACAGTGGCTGTTGTGTGGAGAATATGTTATAGAGAAACCAGGTAAGAGGCTACTTTACTGTCCAGGAGAAAGATGAAGATGGCTTCGAATGGGGTATCCACCTTAGGGTTGTCAAGAAGTGTTTGCCTTTTAAAGCTGCAGCTCCCTAAGTTTGCAGATAGCCTGTATATGGGCTGTGAACAAAAGGGAAAAACTAAGGTTGATTATACGTTGATTAAAAACTAAGGTTGATTATAAGGTTGACCCAGGCAACTGAGTGAATGTTATTATCACTTGCTAAGATGGAAAACCCTAGCCGTGCGCAGTGGTGTATGCCTGTACTCCCACAATCTTGAGAGGCAGAGGGAGGACTGCGAGTTCAAAGCCAGCCTCAGCAACAGCAGGGTGCTAAGCAACTCAGTGAGACCCTGTCTATAAATAAAATACAAAATAGGGCAGGGGATGTGGTTCAGTGGTTGAGTGCCCCTGAGTTCAACCCCCAGTACCAAAAAAAAAAAAAAAAAGAGTGAACCCTGAGGGAAGAAACGAAGTTAGAAGGAAAAATCAAAAAATGGGGGGCAGGGGCATGCTACATTTGAGATGCCTATGAAAAATCCATAAGGATATATAATTTTCTACTCTACACCCACACATATGCATACCTCCACATATATGGAAACAATTATAGTTGAAGATCTAAGTGAGTGAATAGATGACATGCAGTATCCTGAGATTAGATGAAATGAATAAAAGAGGGAGTGTGAATAGAGGAAAGATCCAAAGATTGATCATGGGATATTATACCTTTTAGAGGTTGGAAAGCAGATGAGGATAGAACAAAAGAGGTGCAGACAGCAGAAAGCCAGGAGACTTTGTGCAGCACCTTGGATGAGAAAGGAAGACAAGGTTTCACGAAAGAGTGATTGTGTCACAAACTGAGAGAGTGAGTAAAATGAGGACTAAGAACTGTGTTGGAGGTCACTGAAGAACAGTTTCAGCAGTGTCGAGGACAGGAGGGTAGAGTAGATTTGAGAAAGAGTAGGAAAGGAGGAAATAGAAACAAAGACTCTTTCAAGGAGTTTTTTCTTTATCTTCTTTTTATCTTAGTATTTTTTGGGGGTGATACTGGGGATTGAACTCAGGGGTACTTGACCACTGAGTCATATCCCCACCCCTAATTTGTTCTTTATATATATATATATATATATATATATTTTTTTTTTTTTTTTGTGGTGCTGATTGAACCTAGGGCCTTGTGCATGCCGGGCAAGCACTTTACCAACTGAGCTATATCCCCCCTATTTTGTATTTAGAGACAGGGTCTCACTGAGTTGCTTAGCACTTTGCTGTTGCTGAGACTGGCTTTGTCTTGTGATCCTTCTGCCTCAGCCACCTGAGCCGCTGGGATTACAGGCGTGTACCGCCCCACCTGGCTATCTGAGTATGTTTTACTAATGGAAAATTTCATGCACAAAAATAGCAAGATAGAGACTTCTACTTTCAACTAAAATGAAGTAACAGGGGCCATATTTACTTTCCTATATGAAATAACTGGAAAAAGACAAAAGATATGGAAGAGTGATTTGAAATACCAGAAACAGGCAAAAAAAAGTGATCTCTGAGAGGCAAGAAATAAATGAGTGAGCTGTGAGCCATGTGACTGCTGCAGCTTACTGATTTGAGACAATTTTCAGGCCTCAGCACAAAGACAGGTATAGAGCTTGGTGGACTCTTGAGTTAAGGGTATGCAACAGACACTGAGCATCTAGGGAGACCAAGGTAGCTAGAGGTCATGGGACAGGTTACTGGAGAGGAAAGAGCTACACAGAGAATTTTTGCACAAATTTTCCCTTGGTTATTATATTTTTAAATTATTTTTTGTAGTTATAGATGGACAGACTTCCTTAATTTTATTTGTTTATTTTTATGGGGTGCTGAGGATTAAACCCCGTGCCTCATGCATGCTAGGCAAGTGCCCTGCCGTGAGCCATAGCCTCTGCCCTTCCCTTGATTATTTAGCTGAGTACCTATTACTATAAACCCCACTAAAAGGATTAGAAGGAATAATGCCTGGTGCGAGCACACAGCACTGGGAATGGCACCTTTTCCTTCCAGATAAATTCGATGGCATTTAGTATAAAATTCACAGGGTTTTGCCTCAATAATGAGACTAAATGGGCATAGATAGAATACGGCCATGCCCCACCTATTTTAAACGCAAGATTCTAAAGATCATTGCTAAGTAACTTACTTTAGTCAGCTTTGTGTCACGGACCAAAATACTTGGCAAAAACTTGGAGGAGGGAGAATTTATTTGGGACTCACAGTTTGAGAAGTATCCATAGACTGCCAATTCCATTCCTCTGAGCCTGAAGCTAGGTGACACATCGTGGCTGAAGAGCAGGGTGGAGAAATACAGCTTACCACATGGTGACCTGGAAGCAGAAGGGGAGAATAGAAGGGGCTGCATGGAAGAGCAACCCTTCTAAGGCATGCCACCAGTGACCCCTCCTCTGGCCGTGCCCTACCGGCCTATAATTACTAACCAGTAAGTCCATCAGAGTAGGATGGACTGATTAAATTCAATCATTTCACCTCTGAATATTCCAGCATTAACACAAGGAGCTTTGTGGAGGACATCTCATCCAAACCAAAACAGTAACTTAAAAACATCCCAGGATAAAGTTCAAGACTATAGGAATACGAACATACCCAGTACCCTTCAAGGTAAAATTAGTAATGTCTGGCATGTAACAAACTTACCAAGCAGGAAAAGAAACAAGAAAATACAACTGTAAGAAATTAATCCATCAATGAAAACTAGCCTATAATTAACACATACATTAGAATTAGAAGATAAAGACTAGAAAAAATTATTACGACACTATTAGCTATCTTCAAAAAGATAAATGGAGATACAGAAGATTTAAAAACAAATCATAGAGATGAAAACTATAATATCAAAGATTAAAATGTAATGAGTGGGATTAATAGCAGATCAAACATCACAGATCACAGCCCAAGAAAAGACTAGTGAACTTGAAGATATAACAGAAACTAAAACAAGACACATAAAGAAAAGAGAATAACAATTGAAAAATGAACACAGCACCACTGAACTGTGAAACAACTTCCAGTGGCCAAATATATGTGAAACTGAAAGAAGGGTCTGGGCAGGAAAAAACATTTAAAGAAATAATAATAACCAAAATGTTTTCCAAGCTTACTAAAAATTATAAACTCATAGATTCAAAAAGTTCAACAGTTTCAAGCACAAGGAATGTGAGAACCACACAAAGCACAATATGGTCAAACAATTCAAAGCCAATGACAAAGTGATAAAGATAAAATATTAAGAGCAGGTTAAGTAGTTTGCTAACTACTATTCTATGTGGAACTAGTGAATTTAAAAAGGTGAATTTAAAATTCATGACCATGCATACTCATGAATCAGTATTGATTCACAGATTTAATGTAATCCCAATTACAATCTCAGCAGGTTTTAAAAAAATATAAACCAAGGGCTGAGCTCAATGCTAGAGTGCTTGCTTAGCATGCATAGGCTTCAAATTTGATCCCTACCACAGCTAGATAACTGACTAAATAAATTAATATTATTGCTGGGGATGGTGGCTCTCCTACAGTCCCCTAGTTGGGGAGGCTGAGGCAGGATGGTTGCTTGAGCACAGAATTTGAGACCAGACTGGCAACATAGTGAGACCCATCTCAAAATAAATACGTTAAAAAAGTTGAAAAGCCAAATCCAAAATTCAGATGGAAACAAAAGTACCTAGAATAGCCCTAACAATTTTTTAAATAAAGAACAAAATTAGATAGTTAACACTGCCCACTTTCAAGGTTTATTAGAAAAGTAAAGTTATCAGGACAGAGTGAAACTGTCCTAGAGATAGACAAATAAATCAATGGAATGCAATAGAGAGACCAGAAGTATGTCCACACATATTGACAATTGATTTTTTTAACTTTAGATTTATTTAATTTTTTTAGTTGTAAATAGACATAAAATCTTTATTTTATTTATTTATTTTTATGTGGTGCTGAGGATTGAACCTAGTGCTTCACACATTCTAAGAAAGTTTTCTACCGCTGGGCTACAAACCCAGCTCCGACAACTGATTTTTGATATAGATGCAGAAAATTTTGTAAAAGGATAGTGTTTTCAACCAGTGATACTGGAATAATTAGATATTGATATGCAAAAAAAAGAGCTTCAACCTATGGACAATATGTAAAAATTAATTCAAATGGATCACAGGCTTAAATATAAAACCAAAAATTTCTAGTATACAACACAAGAGAAAATACAACATGGGGTCGGGTGAAGATTTCTTACATACAACATCAAAAGTAGTATGCATTAAAACATTTGATAAATTGGACTTACCAAAATTAAAAGCTTTGGGCTGGGGATGTGGCTCAAGCGGTAGCGCGCTTGCCTGGCATGCATGCGGCCCGGGTTTGATCCTTAGCACCACATACAAACAAAGATGTTGTGTCCACCGAAAACTAAAAAAATAAAATAAAAATAAAAAAAGCTTTGCTTTTTAAGAAAGGAACTGTTTCTTCTCCTTAAAAGACACTGTTAAGAGAATAAAAAGACTAGAAGAAAATATTTGAAAATCATTTCTGATAAAAGATTTACATCCAGAATATTTTTAAAAACCTCTTAAAACTCAACAATCATGGATGGCATTTGCAGGTAAATGGATGGAATTAGAGAAGATAATGCTAAATGAAGTTAGCCAATCCCAAAAAAATCAAATTCCGAATGGTTTCTTTGATATAAGGAGGCTGATTCATAGTGGGATAGGGAGAGGAAGCATGGGAGGAATAGATGAACTCTAGATAGGGCAGAGGGGTTGGAGGGGAAGGGAGGGGGCATGGGGTTATTAATGATGGTGGAATGTAATGATCATTATTATCAAAGTACAGGTATGAAGACACGAATTGGTGTGAATATACTATGTATACAACCAGAGATATGAAAAATTGTGCTCTATATGTGTAATAAGAATTGTAATGCATTCTGTTGTCATATATAAATTAAAAAAAGAAAATAGTTCAGTAAAAGAATGAGTAAAAGATTTAAACAGAAGCTTTATTAAAGAAAGTTTGCAAAAGAAAAGTAAGCACATGAAAAGATGCTCAAGTTCATTAGTAATTAAATGTAAATTAAAACCACAATGAGAAATCATATCTATTGGAATGGTAAAAATAAAAAATCTAACTGTATATCAAGTGTTGATTAGGATGTGGAGGATCTGGAACTCATACACAAGAACAGCAATATAAAATTATACAAATATCTCTGAAATACACTGTTTTTAGTTTTTTAAAAATTTAAATGAATACCTGCCATCTGATCAGTCATATCATTCCAGGTATTTATCCACAATAAATGAAAGCATATGTCTACTTAAAGACCTACAAAAGCTTTATTTTTAAGAGTCCTAAACTGGAAATAACCCACATGCCCATCAACAGAGGAATGGATAAACAAACTGTTGTATAAGTAATACTCAGCAATAAAGAAAAATGAACCGTTTCTGCATGCTGCGGCAACATGGATGACTCTCACAATTTTTATTCTGTGTGAAAGAAACAAAAGAGAGAGTACATATTGAATTATTTCATTCATAAGATTTCTATAAAATGAGCCAGGCACCATTACTTGCATCTATAGTTTAAGCTACTTGGAAGGCTGAGGCAGGAGGATCACTTGAACCCAGGAGTTTGAGGCCATCCTGGGCAACATAGTAAGACCCCATCTCAACAAATATTAGAAAATGGAAATGCAAAGGGGAGGGAGGGGGAAGGAGGAGGTGAGGTGGTAGGAATAATGGTGGAATGAGTTGGACATCATTACCCTAAGCACATGTATGAAGAAATGAATGGTGTGAAAATACTTTGTGTACAATCAGTGACTTGAAAAATTGTGCTCTATATGTGTAATATGAAATGAATTGCATTCTGCTATCATGTATAACAAATTAGAATAAATAAATAATTTAATAAAAAAAAGAAAATGTAAATGCATAAGCTGGGCATGGTGGCACAAGTCTATAATCCCAGTGATTGGGAGGTTGAGGCAGGAGGATTGCGAACTCAAAGCCAGCCTCAGCAACAGCAAGGTGCTAAGCAACTCAGTGAGATCCTGTCTCTAAATAAAATACAAAAAAAAGGAAGGGGATGTGGCTCAGTGGTCAAGTGTCCCTGAGTTCAATCCGCACATACCAAAAAAGAAAAGAAAATGTAAATGCATAGATGGTGACACATCAAATTAGTGGTTGACAGGGGCCGTAGAATAGGAGGGAAGAGTTTCAATGGGGTACTAGGCATCTTTTGAGAGTCATAGATATATTCATTATCTTGAATATGTGATGGTTTCACTGGTATGTTGTGTTCATACTTATTAAATTCCACGTATCAAATATATACACCTTATTATATGTCAATTATAGTTCAATAATCTTTTTAAAATTTAAAATGTAGCAAGATAAATATGTAATAGTCCCATCATCCAGCTTCAATTATTTTCAGCATTCCGCTCTTCTCTTTCAAGGATTTTGCTCTCAAGGGGAGCAGGGAAATGGTCTGTGCTTAGAAAAATCTGACATCACACAAGAATTTTTAATTTTTACTAAGGTGGGACTTGCTACAGTGTGCTTATATGTAGATGAGGGGAGAGGACAAACTGACACAAGAGTAAGAAGAAATGACTAAGAGTCCTTGAGTGGCAGGAGAGTCTGGCTGGTGTTATGTGTGCAAGGGAGGGATGAGCCGAGGAGAAGAGAATAGTTCATTTATAACAGAAGGGAAGACAAAGACATGAATAGGTTCACTTAATAGGTCACACTGACTCTTTGTTACTGATGATGATAATATCAGTAATTGAAATGAGAATAGTTAATAGGCCTTTGTATTCATTAATAAGATGAGTCACACAAATTTAGCAGTGCTTGAGTTTCTTGGATGAAGTTTTCAACAAAGTCATCAATAAGTATGTTATAGGTACAGATTTCTCTGTATTTTCAGCAAAGAAAAGACAATGGCCCTAATCCCAACTCTCATTTGGTCTGAATTGGAGTAATCAATTACGCTAGATGTTGGAAATTCCTGTCTATATATTCAGTGTAAAAATTAAATTGCCATCCAATGTTTTTTCAGTGTTGTGATATTTTACAAGTAATTACTTTTGTTTCCTGTTTCCTGACACCTTGTTAATACCACCATCATCACTTTCACCACCACTATCTTACACAACAAAGGTAACAACAATTACCATTTATTAAGTGTTGCTAGGCGTCACTATCTCCATCTTCATAACAGACCTGTAAGGTAGATGGTAAGATTAGCCCCTGTTGACAGTTGTGGAAAATTAGGCATCAGAGTTAGGCTATTATGCCAATGTCACACCTCAGAAGTATGAGAGCTAGAATGAAAATCCAAGTCCACGTGACTCTAAAGTTCTTGCTCTGAAGAATTATTAGGCTCTATCATTGCTCCTTATAAATGAGAAGTTTTACTGGCAAGAGTAGATATATTCATATTTCTCTCCAATTCTAATTTATTGTAAAGATCACATTTTGACAATGATAAAAGAACTCAGAAGAATGAAAATAATTAATAGTTCTGACATCGTGTTGCAACAACTGTTTTCATTTTTCTCCATTTCCTTTTGATCCTTATCCATATGTACATATTTTGCATAGCTGTAGATGCGATTTTATATTCTGTTTTTATGCTTAATGTTATACCATTTTCCTTGTTCTATTTCATCTTTAATGGATGTATTATTCCATATAGAATGGAATGTTAAAATATTAAATGGAATATTAAAAGATTAAAATATTGCATTTTGTTAATGTGTGATGATTAGTTAATCAATAACCTACAATGGACAAAATTTGTTTCCAGTCTTTTAGTTTCATGATCTAAGCTGAAACAAACTGTTTGATTTTCCCCTATCTTTTGTCAGTTTTTTCTTAGAATATATTCCCAGGAGTAGACCAAATAAGAATTTGAACATATTTATAGATTTGATACTTTAAAAAGGATAAAATTAGGAGAGCTTATATCATATATATATATATATATATATATTCAGTTATAGATAGACACAATACCTTTATTTTACTTGTTTATTTTTATGTGGTGTGGGGGGTCGAACCCAGTGCCTCATGCATGTTAGGCAAGCGCTCTATCACTGAGCCACAGCCCCATCCCAATAGATTGTATCTTAGATCAAGGTAGATAAATTTTATAACTACCAAGAACAGATTAACTATATGAATTATTGTTTAGGAAGACCACAATTGAAGAAAAATTGGGTATGACTGCTAATGGCTACAAGGCTGATTTTTAGGGTGTTGAAATATTCTGGAATTACATAGTGATGATGGCCGTACAACTTAATGAATGTATTAAAAACAATTGTATGTATATATTGGAAGGTGGATTTTTGGGGATGTGAATTATATCTCATTAAAGCCATTATAAAAAATTAGACAAAGTTTCTGATATTCCTATTAACAGTATTAACAATTGCTGTAGGGGAGTTCTAGATTCGGTTTTTATATTTGGATTCAGTGTATCATAGTGGCTAATTAATTAGATTACTAGGGTTTGAGCTGTGGTGTTGCTGTTTATCTGCTGTGGGGCCCTTTGCAAGTGCTGAAGGTTGCATCCTCTAGAAGCTGACACTGAGACAGAGTTTGAGGTGCAGAATGCTTGTTGAGGACCAGTGGGCAAAAGCAGGACAGGGCAGAGGAAGGGGTAGAAGTGAGATGTGAGCCTGACAAACCCTGGACCAACCCAGAGCTCTGATGAGACTGGGTGTGTTCAGGTTGGTATGGCTGTAGACCAACCTGGAGCTCTGGACTGTCAAAACTCCTACATTGAACTGAAATGGTCAGGCCTTTACTTGGGCCCAGCTTAGTGCTGTGTAAAGAAAACTGCTGTGAGCTGGCTTGAGAAGGGAAGGCATTACTTTAAGTGAGGGGCTCTCTGCTGCTGGGGCTGACTGCACTGGTCCACTCCCCAAGCTGGGCACCAAGGCCTGCCTTGGCCAGTGGCTTGGGTGGCATATCTGTGAATATCATAGCAAGTTGCTTTGACCTCTTTTGCCTTAATTCTCTCACCTGTGAAACTGAGATAATAGTAGTACTTCTTTGTATTATTACAGAAATTAAATGTGATTATGATTATACATGTAAAATATTTAGAACGTTCCTTGTTATATGATAAATGTTTATAAATGTTTAAGAGATGTTATTATTATTTTCTTATTACTCTACTAAATAATATAGTCAGCTTTTCCCAGACTATGCTAAAGAATTACAATGCAACATGTATACTGAGAAAGATTTGAAAATTTTTTAAAAAAGAGACTTCAAGTTGTGTACAATGGTGACTAAGAAGTAATTCCAGTGACTAAGAAGGCTGAGATAGGAGGATCTCGAATTCAAAGCCAGCCTCAGCAATGGTGGGGTACTAAACAACTCAGTGAGACCCTGTCTCTAAATAAAATACAAAATAGGGCTGGGGATGTGCTCAGTGGTTGAATACCCCTGAGTTCAATCCTGGTGACAATAACAAAAACAAAAAAACAACAACCTAGGCTTCATTTTTTAGAAAGTTTTAGGTTCACAGCAAAAATGAGCCAAAATGCCTGGCATAGTTGCGCACACCTATAATCCCAGCAGCTGAGGCAGGAAGATTGCAAGTTTAAAGCCAGCCTCAGCAATTTAGCAAGGCCCTAAGCAATTTAGTGAGACCCTGTCTCAAAATAAAAATATAAAAATGGCTGAGGATGTGGCTCAGTGGTTAAGTGCCCCTGGGTTCAATCCCTGGTACAAAAACAAACAAACAAAAAACCAGAAAGCCAAAAATACAAAGGATTACCTTATTCTTCCTCCCCATGGACATGCACATCTTCCCCTTCTAATCTGGGTACATTTAAGAAAAGGAGCAATGGCATCTATTGGAGGTGACTTTGAGGCCAGAATAGGCAGAACCTAAAAGGAATCATTTGAATAATGTGAAATCTTCCCTGCCCCCAGTTTCTCCATTATCTATCTATTTATGACTGATATTTCTATCTCATTCAATCATTTGTGGTTATTAACACCTCCGAACAGTGAACATGGGTTTATTGGATCCTTCCTGCTATGACAGTTAACTGAGAACAGAATCTCATGTTGAGGAAATTAGTTTTGATAAATAGATTTGGGTTATAGTTTTAGGATGGTGGGTGGGAGCTCCTCAGTGCAGGAATTTGGGGGCAGTGGGCCTGCATGCTGTCAGCAGCAGAGCCTGCACACTTGTGGGGAAGGCAGCCTGAGCTTGTGGATGCCTTGCTTCAGAGCTGTGTGGGAGGATCAAGAGAGGAGGCAAATTCTCCAAAAGGGAGGGTGAAAGATAAGAAGCAGCCTTTGCTTAGTCATAGCTTTGCCTAGGGATGACTCTAAGTATGGTTCTACAGAAGGGAAGCCAGCCTAGATATTTCACTTTTAAATTTTTGGTTCAATTTCAGTTTTTATCAAAATTGTATGGGAGAAAATTTCTAAGTTTTGAAACAGTTTTATTTTTCATAAAAATTATCATACACTGAAATGGACTTTTGGGAGAGGATAAACAATCTGCATTTTAACACATGTGTAAGTTCCCTCTCTTACACGTGTGTTAAAAACCAGAATACAGAACAATTCTACCACCACAAAAAACACCTCTCACAACTACTGATCTATATTCCATTATTACAGTTTGAGACAGCTCTGCTTTTAATAGTCTTCTGTTTT